CACACACACATAAAATCCTGATGCTGTGTTAGGGGCTGAGATTGAAGATAAAATTCAAACAAAGGCATCAAACCAGAGAACTGTATTCCATACCTCTACTTTATTCTTTTTCTTTTTTTTTTTATTTTTATGGTACTGGGGAATGAATATGGGGAGCACTAAGCTACATCCCCAGTCCATTTTATTTTTAGAGAAAGGTCTTAAGTTGCTCAGGCTGCCCTTCAATTTAGGCTGTTTCACCTCAGCCTCTGCGCAGGTAGGACTACTGGTGTACAATACCACACCAAAAAGGTTCTCCCCATATGTAAAATGGAGATAATAGCAGTATCTACATACAGGATTGTTAGCATGCATTAAGTGATTCATAAATTAGTTTATTATCATTGCTAAATTTCTACAAAGTTTACATGGCTACCAAGGAAAATGCTGAGCTCTGAATCTGGACAGCCTATTATATTATTTGTGTTTCACAGGCAGTCATCTAAAGCAAAAAATTATTTACAGACTCTGTCTACATAGTATTTACTTCTACCTTGTAACATGTAGACCCCTGACCATATTCCATTCTTTAGACACTTGAAACTCTGCTTATACTACATTCAAGATAACAGTACTGCAAAAAGCACCATGACATATTAAACTATGCTTCTCTCATGGGGAAGTCGGAGAGCAGCTCAGCCAACACTGAGGACTGGTGCCATCAAGGAAATACTGGAAACACAGGTAGCTCTGTTGATTGCCTGTCTAAACAGCCTCATTTAAATTAAACTCGCATTTAAAGTAAAACACAAAACAATGATGTAAAATAGACAACTTTGCAAGTTAGCTATGAATTTGCCACCATTCTGTATTAGTTTCCTGTTGCTTATGTAGTGTAAAACAAGAAAAATTATTTCGTAGTTTTGTAGTTCAGAAATTTCCTGGGTCCCTGACAGTCCACACACGTATCTATTTCACACAGAAGCCCAAAGGCATATTTATAGATAACTAATTTTTTTTTTTTTTCTTTTTGGTACCGGGGATTGAACTCGGGACCTTGCGCTTGCCAATCAGGTACTTATGCCCCTGTGTTATCTCCCCGGCCGTGAAGGTAACTAATTTTTATGTTCAACTTCCGATAAGAACTAAGAAAAATATTTTGCCGGAGGACACACAAGACTTAGAAGACCAGTCAGGCGGTGGTGGAGCGTGCCTCTAACCCACCGTTCGGAGCGTTGAGACAGATGTTTCACAAGTTCGAACTCAGTTTGGGCAATTTGGCAACTTAGTGAAACCCTAAGGGAAAACATGAATAACCAAGGCTGAGGATGTAGCTCAGTGGGAGGGTTCAATACTCCAAGACTGGGGGGGGGGGGTTTGAGGCGGTGTGGTAAGAAAGTCCGGGGAGATTAAGTACAGAGCTGAATTAGAAATATGTAGTTCCTTTACACCCTAATACCAGTCTGCCTAATGAACTTGAGATGTACAATCTCTGAGGAGTGCATAAAAGATACAAAAACATCAGAGTATAGACAGTTATATGAAATTCGAAAAACCTTAACGGGATTAACAATATAAATAAAAACGAGACCACTGCGCCTCTTCTTCCGTTGGTCCCAGATCCGCGACTCAGAGCCGGGGAAGAAGTCCCCTGAAGGAGAGCGGCGACCCTACTGACCTTCCTCCCGCGCTCACAGAATTTCGGATTCCCACTCCAAGCCTTCATCAGTAAAATCCTCTGCTGATCCATTATCTCACCGTTAATCAAGGGGCAGGTCTCCCGGTGTGGTAACCAGCAGACACAACCAGCAGCCAGATCCAAAACGCCGTTCCCGCAAATGCAGACACAGCTCGGGTCCTACAGCAGGAAGCCACACAACGCGCAGTCGCCGCGGCCTCCAACCGCCAGCCAGCAGAGGGGCGCTACGCCACCCCTGACCCGCTCTGCGTGGCCAGCAGGAGGAGGGGGCGTCGAGCCTAAGGGCCGCGGCGAAAGATCCAGAGAGGTAGGTAGTCGTAGGTCTCTACTTGACTCTCGGATAGTTCCAATCACCAAGGCTAGCTCTACCTGCCTGGTCCCCGTCCTTTTCTCCTCCGCCTCTGCAGCCGACGAGAATGGAACATTCCCGCGGGGGGGATTGTGGGAGGCGCAGGCGCGAGGAGTGGAGGGTGGGGGGTGGAGGCGGCGGCGGCGGCCGTGGCGGCGGTTGGTGGCCGTGGGGGCGGGGAAGGGGGAGAGGAAAGAAGAGGAGGAGG